TTCAGGCAGCACAGGCTATTTGAAGCTTTGCCCAAATATTCACTCACGATAGGGCAGAAACTTTTTGCAGCAGAGCAGCGCGGCGGAACGTTACGTTGAAATAAAAACAAGGGCTGTACATGATTAATTGTGCCTGACCAGAAGTCAGGTTCAGCAAATTCTGAAACTGCAAATGACTAACAAATGAAAGAATTTTGAAAAAAAAAAGAGAGAACAAAAGCAGACATGATTTGATGTAGATCAACTGAGAGAGCCCTGATAGACTTGACTGGTCTCACAGGAAACAAGAAATTTATGTGGCACAGGGCCAAGCCGAATCGAACTTACTAGTCACGTGCAACATGCAGTTTCATCGCCTTCAATGTAGTCCCTTCCTTCTGCATTTCTATAGGCCAGACACGTACAGGAAACATTTTATCTGATCAATTTTTTAAGAGTGTCGAGTCTGAAATTTGAAAAATGTCAAGAATATTTTAAGAATAAACCGAGGCTGGGATTTTGAAAAGAGTATCTTTTTTTGTGTTGAATATAATTTCTAAATATAATAAAATTATTTCTTGAGCTTAACCATGAACTAATTGCAAAATGAAAAAGCTCGTAAAGCCGTTAATGTAATGTGTGATGTGAGATTTTAAAATGTTTTGGTCCTTTATCGAGATCAGAACGATACTAATTTTAACGAGTGTGTATTTTGGCTCTTCAGTTTACTCTAGCTTCCGAAGCGTATCATAACTTGATGCCCAGCTTAATAAGCCCGGTCCTCGCTTGTGACGCAAGTATAAGCATAAACCAATAAGGAGCTTTTGCGCTAGCGAGGACGGCTGCGACGTCCGGGAGGAGGGGACTCCCATACAGAAATGACAGGGGTGTTCGTCGTACCTTTTAGGGGTGAAAAGCGGTTTTGGTTCAGCCTCAAAAGGTCCACAGCGGAAGTTTTTTCGGTACCTTTTAGGGTACTGAACCGAAGAAATTATGACAGGAGAAGGTGTGTTATGTAAGAATCCACAATTCTTATTCAAGCCACGTACACAAAACAGGATCTTGGTACCTCTTAGGGTTCTTTTCAAAATTTCCGACTAGCACCCCCGTCCGTTTATATGTTTCGTGCCCACGCTATTTTTAATGTCGTGACTGGAAAGAGAGGAAGAGGTTAACCGAGGTCACGGCTATAGCACGCGCGTACGTGATCAAAAGTGAGCGGAATCGGTAATCAATTCCAAAGAGGAAGTCTTCAAACAGCAATAAAATTAAACTCCAGGATAAAAGAATCCACAGATCATACATTTGCGGTAAGTGCTCCTCTTTTTCCGGTACATTATATACTCTTTTCTTTATCAGAATATCGCTTTTCCAGCCGTGGCTGAATATTCTTATTTTTCTGCCGATTTAAGACTGAAAATATCTTGTAGCTATTCTTAGATTATAGCGCATGACATATCTGTTTTCGAATGTATTTGTCGTCTGGATGGAGTTCAAGTAATTTTGAAGCCAGCCTGTAGGGATTTAAGCCTGATATGACGCATATAATTTCTTGCAGAAATGTTATCAGCAACAAACGTACGGCTAGTGCTGTTTTTGTTTTGTTACTTTTTGGCTAAGTTTTGCCATTTAGAAAAAGACTGAATTTTATACGGTTTGGTTAAAAACATATAATTGTGTTGTATTTACAAATTTTGAAGTAATTTTGGTGCAATAAGCCTAATATGACACACATATATAGAGGATATTACACGGTGGCGAGAAGATATGAATTTTATGTTCGAGTGGCAAGAACAATATAATATTGTTCTTGCCACTCGAACATAAAATTCATATCTTCTCGCCACCGTGTAATATCCTCTATGTATTTACAAATTTTGAAAATTTGCCACGATGTTCATATAAAGTGTATTCTTATAAAAAAAGAAAGAGCGTACACAACGGTCTTGCAGACGAACACTCACACAAATTTAACCTTTAAATATACTAAACACGCGAGAGGTCATCCTGTCGAATTCTTCGAATGAGTCAATCTTTCCATGAACACAGTATTTATAGCCCGACTAAATCACTCGAAAATGGATCCAGACAGCTCCACTTTTACCTTGGCAAACTGTTCCGATATAGGACAATGTGATACCTTGAAGATATCAAGCCATCTACCTTGTCGCCCGAACAAGACCGTGACTTGCCCTTCGAGAATGGCTGAAATTTCATCTTTGACTGCATAGTGGAAACCGCTCAGATTTCATTTTTGCAAGCTACTGAATAGGATTTACATTTTCGCTTTCAAGGATTAATGATTTTTTTAAAGAGACACGTGTTGGAGGCCCTATGGCCTAATGATTAATCAGCTGATCTCCCCAGTTAAAGTGCACCTAACCCCCAAAAAAATTTTTCGCTAAAACGAATCCACTTGTTATTTGAAGCATTTGGGCGAAAAAAATTTTTAATTTGGTTGAATCCTCGATTTGCTATGCCCTCTCAAAGTCGCGCCTGAAGTGTTACACGACCGCGTTTCAGGGAGTCTGGGGCGGCGGTTGCTGATGACGTCTGCCCAGGAACCAAACACAATGGCGCCTCAGTCAGCTCTCTGTATTTGCTCGAGAAAATGGAAACAAAACTAATCGTTCCAATATATTTTGGGACTAAGACATCCAATTTTTGTTTCAGAATCATTTGTTTTTCGTCACTGGAGTCAGAGTTAGGTTTCGATTCGGAAGACACCGAAATAAACTTCGATCGAGCACGTTCGGCAACT